GGCTTCACGCAGGGCCTCGAGAAAGCTTGGGAAGACACGAGTTTAAGGCAGGTTGGCGCTGGCTCCCGGCGAAGTAGGCACTTACAAAGCATGCCAACGTCTGGCCTGCCGTCCGCGCTGCTGCGCTGGCTTTGGAAGTCTTGACGGCTCTTAGCCTTGTTGGTGAGCGAGTACTGCCGTGGCTCGAGGAGGCTGCTCACCGCAACGGCAGTGGACTGCAGGAAAGCACAGGAAGAAGCACGGCACGAAGAAGCGGGCCGAGCGGGCCTTCGGCAGCCCAAGGCACGAGCCAAGCCTACAAAAGTGGCACAAAGCACAGTTCCTGTCGCCGCTGGCTCGCTGCTGGCAAAGGCACCCACACAGTGGCTCCCAGCAGGAGACGGAAGCGCCCAGCAGACTCCAAAAAGTTCACAACAAAGCCCACTCCACCTGGCTGCCTTGACCAATGCGCGAAACTGCGCAACATAGCAGAGACTCTCCGGTGCTAATCTCAGTGCCGCGCACGAGGCCTCCCACTGCATACACCGTGGCCTCGAAACTCAGCGACACCTGAGCTCCCGCGCATACAGAAACTCACTTTGTTGTGTGGGATTGCCTGCAGCGCAGCCAGGGAAACGAAGAGGGCGCCCTCGGACTGCGTCTCAAGGCATTGCTCCTCCGTTTAAAGTCTCTTGAGAGACTGATCACAGTGGCTTTTGCCAGGTGCCTTCAGCAAGATGAGGTGGCCAACGGCCACGCACACATAGATCAGCGTGGCCACCTTACCGCTGCGCAGCGTAACCCGTCTGAGTCTAGTCGAAACCGGAAGAAGGCGCCAACGGGGCGGGCCCAGCCAGGATCTGCAAGGCCGCGGGCCTGGCGCAAGCATCAGTCTTGCACCCAAGCATAAAGTCATGTCATGGGGGTCGTAGAAGTCTGGGAGGCTGCGCCAGGGCTGCCGCGAGGGGAGTTTGCAGCACAGTACGGTTCTACTGGGAGGGCCTCATACACTTTGTGCGCGGGCAATCAAGCTGCAACCAGCATCTTCAACCAGCCACACAGTGGCCTCCTCGCTGTCCTGCTGCTCGATGTCCTTGTCAACCTGACAGAAACAAGACTCCTTCTTAAACTCTCCAGCATCCAAAAGGAACGGCCTCAACTTTGCCTTTCTCCCGGTTCTTCAGGGGGTCCTCGGAGCTGCACCTTCAGAGACAGAGTTGGCCAGAACGTCAAGGGCCTTTCAAAGGGTTTTGAGCTGGAGGCATCGACAGCTCCACGCCATCGGCCTCGCGCCGTGGGAGAGCCGCCCCGTCCATGGCTCCACAGCATCACGCGGAAGAGCTGATCCTGTGTTGCCTACAACTAAATGGATACGTTGCCGTGGTTTTCATCTGCCCTGTGCGGACGAGAAACGGACGGATGCTTTCGAAACAGTTGGCATCGACATCATGTGCGTGTGCGTGTGGGTGTGGGTGTGTGGGTGGGTGTGAACTCTGCTCACAGGCTGGCCGCAGTCTAGCACTTCATAGAGAAGAGCAGGGCGGAGAAGGGGAGTGCGGCTTGCCGGGTTAGCCGCAACTGCGCTGCATTTCTGCACGGCTCTCCAATTTCTCAGCCGAAACACAAGACGTCGGGCTGCCTATGGCACAGCCCGGGAAGTGAAACGACACCGGCAGGTCCCATGCAGCAGGCCAGAAGGCAGCAGAACACATGGAAGAGCCATATCAGCAACATCAGGAGTGCATCCGGTGACTGGCACACGGATCAGATGTCACAGATGTCTGAGACCAGCTGATTGTGGCTTTGCCGGTACAAGATCCTTCAGGCAGGGCAGTGGGCCGCTGCGAGAAAAACTTCTCGTCTACCCTTGAACGGTTTCTGAGACTCACGCGAAGACGCCAGAAAAGCGCTTCTTCGTATAACCGTCCGACTTAGATAGCTGCAGTCTTACTTTGATCGACACCTCTGTGCAAACCAAATATCTTACATACTCACTACATACAACGCCCTTAGCAGTTACTCAACACCCGACAGAAGCCGTGGTTGCCAACTTGTCCTCCTGGAGACCCTTAAAGCCACCACAACTATGGACACCTGCTTGACTGGTCATCATGTTCTGTTCTGACGGCTCTGAGGGGGTCACCGCTCATGCGAAGCCCAAGGGCCGGGACGACGAAACACGAAGCAGAAACGGTTACTGAACTGGTTGCATCACGCTACCGTCGCTGTCAGCGGCCCGAGCATATGCCCTGCTACTGCACAGGCTCTTGATTGGCCTCGTATGCTCAAGCTTCTGTAGCTACAAGCACATCCATTGGGATTAAGACACACCCTGTTCTGTTATATAATCCTGGGAACCTTCCAAATCCTTCCAAACTTAATTTGCAAAAAACTGTAAATACCAAAAACGGTGTAGACTAAGTGTAAATGTTCGGCAGGCCTGCCAGAGCCTCGGTAGAAAAATGTGTTAGAATTCTGAAATGTGAGAAAAACTCATCCAAAAGATGCAAGTGGAAGGGTTGAGCGAGTGCGGAGGTGTAAAGCAAAACTGCCACAGTCGTGCAAGAAAAACTGTGAACATAATGCAAACTCGTGGAACTTGCCGGGTGGGAAGTTTCCCTGGCGAAAACTCAGGATGCGCACTTGCTTTCACACGTTGCGCACACATGTTTCCTAAAGACGGCTGCATTCCTGAAAAATGTGGCAGCCCTTGGGAAAGTGTAGAATAGAATAATCCATTAAAATTCCCCAACAGCACAGTAGCTGTCATTGGGCTTACCGTTCAGGGTACCAGAAAAGCTGACAGAACCTTAGCCGGTTTTTCCCTGCCCGGTCGGGCATTAAACACAAGATTCTGATTCGAGCAGCTTATGGGTGGCTGCGTTTTCGGGTGCAGGTAAAGCATTGAGCTCCAGATTTGCTGAGACCAGGGCCAGATGCGTTTAGCAGGCCTCGGAAAATGCAATTGGGGTTGGTCGTTGGCTTCTGGGGCACGATTTCGGTTCGGGGAACGGGGCCGAGAGCACCAGCGAGCTGAAACAGGTTTGAATTATCAGAAAACAGGAGCAACACACCTTTTTCGGCAGGTGGTTGCCGCGACTCAAGGGCCCTACATGGCCCTACAAGTTTTGGGCCACAAGGGCAGCAGTCGTGCTGCACACTGTACACAGTCCGAAGACAAAACGGTCCCGTTTGACACTCCCAACTTCGTGTTGGCTTAAAGGCGCGTCGGGACGTTGAAAGAAAAGGTCAGCAAATTATCGCTTCCCCTGTGAGCCGAGCTGGGACCTCAAGGTCTCACAGTAAACAGGCAGCCGGTTGAACCGTAGCTGCAGGCGGGTACGTAGTGCAGAACGTGTCCGGGTGCACAGACGTCGAAGGTTGGTAGGAGGACTTATACTTCACTGGAGGCGTGCAACACACCAACACAGTGGTCTTCAAGCGTCAGACCTCGTCTGAGCCAGTTACGGAAAGTCTCGCGCCCACATGGCAGTTGTAGAACCCATTGCAGCGCATGTCTTGAGGGGCAATGGTTTCCTGAACAGCTCTGATCGTCAGACCAACGCGCCACTCCTCAGTGTTGAGGTTCGCAGCGATGGCCGTGTCAAACAGCGACGTGCAATCAGTCGTGAAGCAGTGGCGCGGTGTCTTGAAACCTCGCTGCAGGCTTCCGCCCTCACCCACGCCCTTGATCGAATGTGCTTCTTGCGCTACGACAAGGAAGGCTGTTTGGACTGTATAGCATTGGTGTACGTGGACGACTTTTAGTCGCCCATGCCGACCACTTTGACCTGACGGTGCTGACGCGCCTCTTCAAGTAGGGCAAAACCTCCTTCGACACCGACGTTGTAACCTTTGAAGGGAAGCAACTCCGGACAGTCAAAGAAAATGGCGTTTTTATCCTCCGCGTGACGCAATCGGAGTACATCCGTACTTTAAAGATCGCTCGCGGTTATAGTGTTTATTAAAGCTTATGTTCATATACTAGAGATTACTAACACTTGAGAAATGGTTAGCTAAGTGGTTAAGCAAGTATTTAGCTAGCCGATTAGCTAACTAGTTAGCTGTGTCGCTAAGTACTTAGCTAAGAAGTTAGCTAACTAGTTAGTAAGCATAAATAGTCCTTCGTATCAAACAGAAACATCGAAAGTTGATCATAAGATTAGCCTTTTAGAAGAAACATGGGCAGACAAATCAGGAAGCTCATACTTGAGTTGCAGTATAGGAAAGTATACAAAAGCCCATGGGCTCTTACAAGGTTTGAACATGTGGCACGGCATCGTGCTAATTGTGTAGAAGCATGTATAGTCATAGCACGCATTTTTTCCGAAATGCGGCGGCAGCTCTCGCGATCAGGGTCCGCATTCTTTCGGGATCCAAGCCCGAAGGCTGCCGTCAGCATTTTTGCTGTAAGCGGCAGCTCTCGCGATCAGGGTCTGCATTCCTTCGGGATCCAAGCCCGAAGGCTGCCGTCAGCATTTCTGCTATAAGCGACAGCAGCCATGATGTTTTCGGTCTCTACCAAGCTCGCAGCTTCCTGCTTCTGACAGATGCATGTACCATGCTTCCAGTCATGCTGCTGCATCTCGAGCACGTTGACCAACGAAAACATCTTGCCTCCAACCTCGGCATGGAAATAGACCTCTGCAAGCTCACAGCTTCTCATGATCACAACATCTCCCTTGTGACAGTGGCCGGCTGGAGCCAAGTGAGCTGCTGCACATGTGTAGACCTCCTCGTCGAGTGGCAAGACTTCGCGAAGGAAGCCTTTCAGCTGCTTGGACGGCTTGCATTTCTGGTGCAGCCTTGCGGCTGTGTCGAAGAGGTGCTCGTCCTGGTAGTCCGCCAAAGTCTGGCCCAGTGCCTCCACTAGCAAGGACTTGTCAAAGTGACTCGTGTTGTGCATGAGAGCACCGTGTCTCTTGATGTGTCTGTGCTTTCGTTCTTGAACCCAGCAAGAAGGTAAACAGCCGAATTTGGCTAAATGCCGAGGTAAGTGGAGTATCCAATGAAACTTAGGGTGGAAATCATCTTGCCACCCTGCATCTCGAGCACTGCACAAGAAGCCCTCGACAGCTGTTCTCAATCTTTGAGGTGTCGTCACCCCATGGGGCACAGCTTGAAGCAGCTCGAGCACATCTCTGAGGTGTATGCATACAGCGATTTCCATGGAGCAGATTCCCAAGGGTTGCAAGACATTTACCAAAAGGCACGTGAAGATGGGATACAATGCCAGGGCTTCGGAAGCTGTGCACTTGAAGGTCTCAGCGCTTTTGTTGGCTTCCTTCCTCTTCGCAGTAAACAATTTAGCCAGATTCTGCGATTTCGAACGAGGCAAAATCCACTGCTCCACATAATCAGCACAGATCTTGTAGAAGTCCTGGCCAAGGCCTTTCTCAGCAGCTTTCATAGTGAGCTGCATGCAAGTGTTCCTGCCAAGAGTCGGGGCTGGGCAGGCAGGAAGAAAATGATCATGCCAACAAGTGCAGTGCAGGAAAGGAAAAGAACTGGTATTTCGTATATATTGTTACATGCAAAACCAAGCATCCAAATGCCTTTGACGAAAAAGGCATGCATCCAGTCGTGAAGCCATTGGCTGACAGGCTTGGCGACAGTGCAGAGTTCCGGGTCAAAGATCAAGCTCTCAGGCTGATAAACGATGCCCACGGCCTGCTGCCACAAAGCAAAGTCGGTCTTCGTCAGCTCTTCATGTTTCTCCAACAGCTTCATGATGCTTCGGCTGAAATCCTCGTCGCTGTTCAGTTGCAGATCAGCCTCTTTGAAGCACTGATTCAGCAATCGAGCTTCTGCTAGCTCAATGCTATTGTTCGCCAGAATGTTTCGGCAAAGCAAGCAACACCGAGTACCTGCGTCCCCCTTTATCGAGAAAAGCAGCTTGTGTGCTGCTCCATCCTGTAGGAATGCAGCGAGCCTGAAAAACAGCCTTTCGGCTCTTCCACCATCAGGCCGCTTCAACAGCACTCCTGCTTCAGGGCTCGCATTGCCAGAGACGAAGATAGATTTCAGCAGCATGCCAGCCACTTGGCTCATACCACCAGGCAAATTGGACACCACAGTGGTTCTGACCAAGCACAGCGGCAGCCATGAGGCTTCTTTACTCAGGTTGATGGGGCCTAGCTCAAAAAATGATACATAGATTGCCCAGACTTTCCGGGATGCTTCAGGCGCCAACGGGTTTCCACAATTGATTTCGTCGGAGTAAAAGATTAGCCTGCAAGGAGCACGAGTGCTACTGCCATGGAGCAATCGTCTCCACTCAGCAGAGGCGAGCCACAGGGCTTGTAGCAACGAAAAA